GTGACTTCTTTCTGTGGGGAACGTTGAAAGAATTTGTGTATTCTTCGCCCGTTGCGTCTCAAGAAGAATTATGGAATCGCATTATTCATAAATGCACATCTATTAGGAATAATCAACAGTTATTAGATAGGGTGGATTTTAATTTTCGAAGAAGAATAAATTTATGCGTAAGAGAAAACGGCGATTATTTTGAACAATTTCTTTAATTTATCGATAAACAATTGTTTGTTCTGGTTGTTGTTTAAGTTTTTTGTGTTTATTTTGGTTAGTTGTTAATCCCAGTTTTTCACATTTCAGTATCTGTACTTACTTATTATTATTTTGTTACGTATCTAAATAATAATTTGCCAGCCAATTCCTACTGATCACATTAAATGACCTACTTTCTTGTTTGACGTTTATTTTCATAGCCAACTTTTTTAAATAACACACCTAGAGCGCGCGTTTTAAGTTATTCGAGTTTTTGATGAAAATGATGAGTTTTTTCGAAAAATTACTAGAGTAAGAAAAGTTTAAGAATTGAATTGCCCACAAAACAAAGCAAAGATTTTTAAAATCCATCAAGGGTTAACAAAATTCTGTTGAATATTAATGGTGCGCCACCCAGTATACCCCCTTTACAAATTTCAATTAAACTCTAATTACTGTCAAGTAACGCCCTAAATACATCCACAAAGTGTACCAAATTTGGTTGCTTTAAGTTCAAGAATAACGGAGATATTGTTTTTTTTTTTCAAAATTTATAACTTCACTTTCAAAGCCTATAACTCCTTAGGGAAGCAACTTGGTATAGAGGTAAGTTGCGTTAAATTGCCATATTTTGGGACCCCCTATATGCCCCTGCTCTATGTCGGTTCTTATGTGAATCACCCTGTATATACGGCATAAACAAGACAAGTGTAAACGAAGTCTATATTAATGATAAACGGATGGTCAATAAAAACTAACTCCATTATAATGCATTCACAATATGCACACAAGATGAGTGGCATTTATACCGAAAAATAATCATAACATTGTGTTCAGTTGCTAATAGTGTGTCTACTAAAACTAGATAAGAGACATATAACTTATTTTTGCTAAATGTATTAAGTCCTATTCCTAAAAGTGTTTCTGCCAAAACAAGATAAAGGCCAGAACACTTATTTTTATTAAATTTATTTGTTAAAATAATTCAACATTTTTCACAAGCCATTTGTTTTATTTTGCCTAGAACTCTCTCTCACCCTTTTCGATTGGTTCGAAATCGACAAGGTGATTACGTCACCCTTTTATCCATGATACAGCTAACCTTCAAAAACCAATAGATGATAACACGTGATGCCCGAATCGCCGTGGTGAATGATTAATTGGTCAAGCTTTAACGAGTGGGGGTGCTAACATTCGTTAAAACGACCAAAAATACTTCTTAAATCACCAAAACAACACCAAAACACCAGCTTTTCGCATTGTTTGAAAAACCCAAACTACACCGGCAGAGAAATTCCTGAAAGAGTGAACACTGAGAACAGCTCTGAAAATTGCAATTCGTTAGTAATACCAAGAAGAAAGATTTATTATAACTTTGCAAATCAGGTGCTACACCTGATGAATTTCACCATTATTATCACAATCTACCTGTATCCAATAATGTTAAAGACACGGTACCTGAACCTTTCATTGAAGATAGTGACACAGACGTTGAATGTATGTAGACAGCTAAAATAAGCCAAGTGACTTTTTTCTATTTTTTTCTCTTTCTTTTGTTACCAATCGATAGATTTATAGTTTATACTTTGTAAAGACTAATTAATTAAAGGCATTTTCGAAAACTCGGATCAGAAAGATTATTGATCCTATCGTTTGTTTACCTATGGTTACTAACATTATCCGTGTTCGGAAACAGTAGATTACTGATCCAGCTTTGTGATCGAGATCAATATTTTGTAATCCACTCTACAAGTAGATTAGTAATAGATCCGCAAGCGCACCACAGGATTTTATAAAGGGATAACGCAATTTTGTGGTTTTTGGTGTCGGCCAGTAGTAACTTTGAAGTTTTTTTTACATTCAATCAGTTATAACTTGTAATATTTATGACCCTATTGCGACTTTATTAGTCAGACTACAAATACATTTAATTAAAATGGATCTTTAACAAATAATAGGGAAAAGTCAAATATTGACAAGACGTAGATAAACAGGAACAATAATACAACTCGTAAACTGCCGGCACAAAGTTCAGTGATCTACGTGATCCATCGGGTAAACCCAGTAATCTGGATTGGTTATCTGTAGTAGGTTTCCGAAAATACCCTATGTTTTAAGTACCTTTTTTTCATTCAACAATTTGAAGCTTTTGCTGATTTTTTATTTAATTTTAAACTTTTGAACAGCATTTTCTCGAAACTCTAAAAATGTGAGTTATCTTGTTTATGCAGTAACCTGATGGGATATATTTTTGGTTTGCGTTTATTTATTAGAGGTTCCCACTAACTAATTTTAAATGGATGGCCTAAATAAAGGGTAATCATACAAAAATATTACGACCCGTGGCCCGTGTAAGATAGCAAACATACATATGTGGCCCGAAGGAAGAAAAGGTTGAGTATGGCTATTTTAGATCATACACGCACAGGATTGGTAAGGTCCCAGATACGAGGTGTGTCTATTGCAATGAAGAGGTGGACGATCCCAAGCACACCATTTTCCGGTCTCGCAGATGTAGCAACAAAAGCTCAGTCCTAGATTTTAACATGGAATAAATAAGACCAAACGAATTAGTAAATTACATGCTAGGCGAAGAGGAAAAATGGAGAAGTGGACATCGCTTAATTATTGAAGTAATTAAGAGGAAACCGGACCTCTCGCGAAAGCAAAAATGTTTTAAGGATTTTCTAATATAAAATTGTATTTATATGCGTGCCATTGGGAATACTTCGTGATATTATGTGTCTTGATAGTATTGAGAGCTTTAAATTTGTGCAACGATAAGGTAGCACTCTACAAAGACGTTTAAGAAAAAAAGGTGGGAAAGCATTCCATTTAAAAACTACTACATATTTATTAAAACAAAAAGCAGTAAATTTTTATAGATTTTAATTCTTTTTAAAATTTTTCAAAATAAATACTTTTTTTTTATGAAAACACAATTATGTGATATATCACGTAACACAGCGGAAAGTTTCAAAGTTAAAATCATTTTTAAGTATTTTCTTTTACCGATTTTGTAAAAAAATTGTGAAATTGTCCAGATAAACAGTTTTCGAGATATGGCAAGACGCCGCCCTTAGAGAGAGACGAGAGAAACCCAAGAGCTTGAGAAAGACGGCGGTCTCCCCGACGTTATACCACAAAGGTAGTCCCGGGAGAGGTCGCGGTCACCAGAAGGTGGTTTTTAGTGGACAGTAGAATTCTACACTATCCCTGAACAACGTAGGGTTGTGCGTAGAAGCATTTTCCAACTTAAAAAAAAAGGATCCCAGATATTTTACCTCTTATGCAAAGGGAATAGTTTTCCCGGCCAAGGTAGGTTGTTGTAGCTTGTTGCAACTTGTCAAGCTTTCTTCTCTTGGTGAAGTAGACGATAATAATTTTCCAACTCTATATATAAGTCAATTTTTAGTGCATTATCAATGCCAGTTCTGTCTGCGTAGAATCTCACACTTTGCAATATTGGGTCACAATAAATCGTGCTTATATATGTGTTTGTTCTGGAACCATGCCTTATATCGGTATCAATCGTTTAGTACATGAGTCCTAACTTACGCAGTATGATCTCACTCCGAGTCATTAGCTCATTTTTCCGTCTAGTTTCGTGTGCCATATGTGTTTCCTGGGCTAGTAGGTGGATCTTAATGACTCTAGCGATGTCCTGTGCATCCGCCATTGATATAGTCCTAAATCCTTTTATTACTCTTAAAATGTTACTCCTTAGTATACTATTAATAAGGTTTTTGTACTTGTTCATGGACAAAATGCTATGCCATATAGAGGGTCCGTGTAGCATCATATAGTGAACTACCCCTAAGAGAGTTCTTCTCTTAAAATAGTTTGGACCTTGAAGGTTGGGCATGATTTTCTTGAGGTCTGTGATTTTATTCAGCATTTTTCCTTTGGGTTCACAATGTGAATTGCGAAAGTAATATTATGGTTCAGGATCATTCTCAGGCATTTAAAGTCTCCAATGGGTTGTATGACGTCATTTTCTAACCGATACGACGATATACGATGATTCTCAGGCACTTAAAGTCTCCAATGGGTTGTATGACGTCATTTGCTGACCGATACGACAATACACGATGTGTCTAAGTATTAGTACCGCTGAGCTTTGGCTTAGGGAGAGTTGAAGATCGTTGTCCATCCATTTTTCAATTTTTTTGCGCCTTATTACCTCTATGTATAACCTGCATAGGTGTGTCGTCCTCAACAACTAATACTACCAATTCGTTCACACTCCTAAGTTCAGCTTAATTACGTCATTGAACAAAACGTTCCACAGGGTCGGGCCAAGGACCTGTGGGATATTTGCAGAAAAGGTATAGCATCTACTACAATTCATCAATATATGATATCAACATTGAGTGGTTCAGTGCCAGAGTTGCCTAACCAACAGTTTATTAAAAGTGAGTAAATGGGGATCAATGCAAATTACCCATGTCTACTAGACATAACAGTCTAATTTTTAGGTATGGACACCAAAAACGTACAGTACAGTTCGTGGGTTTTCAAAAAGTTTTTCCAAAATAAATCGTTTTTTACTAAATTCGGCTCATTTGAATCGAACCGGTAACACTTTTGAGTCCCCCCAAAGCGCCATAATAGAGGCTGTATAAGTTTATCATTATTATATAGACATACAAACATATTATTTGAAGAAATACAAGTGAAAGCTTGAAAGTTTTTAGGACGTACATCGTATTTGGAAAAGCTTTCTTATAGTCTCGGTGCTCTCACCGATTAACTTTAAAAATACGGCACTAACCAAATAAGAAGTTTCCTTAAGTTTTCTTTTGTTTCAGTAAATCCAGTTCTAACCCAAATGTAAATGGAAATGTTGGAATCAGGACTCCAACGCAGTCTCCTACTCCTAGAAATTTGAATGGAGCTGGTTCTATCTCTCCTAGCTTAAGGTAAATTTATATATCATTCTATATATTTTTTTTTTCGCTAACCTACCTTTATTGTTGCATGTTTAAAATGCTAATTTTTCTGAACATAAAAAAATTATAAGCAAATTTCGCGATTTAAATAAGTAGCCTTTGAAAACAGATAGAAAAGTCGCATCGTCAATAATTAAACGAATGGTTGACAAATATTGTTTTGATATCACAATTAGTGGAAGGTGGGGTAACGAAGGACCAGAGAAGTTGAAATAATAAAATATGTTATTTTTTAAGAATAAAAAATGTTTTTGGTTTTATTCCGTACTTCTTACCATTTAAAAAACTTAACCAGTGTGGATAATATAAAAAAAAACACATAATTTATTACTCCTATTATCAGAGAAAGAACCTGCAGAAATTTAACCTGAGAGGCTGGCTATCCTTAGACAGTCCCAGCAACAACCAGCATATTTTCAATGGACTTTGATGATCTGGAAGATGGCAGTCTTTAGAGACCCCCTAGCGACAACCAGCCGGTTTTTGACTAGTTTTTAACCTGCAAGACTTTGATAAGCTGAAAAGATGGCATGTTGGACAGAACTGCTCTCCACATTTTGCTGGAAAGAAAGGCCAGGATGATCTCATAGACTCCTGAAGGTGGATAGTCAATGCAACGAAGAACTGCGATGGGACTAGACGGAGCTGATGAATAAGATTAATAACCACCACATCCTCGGCATGGTCTCACGACTCGCTAGTTTCCCCACACCACATAGAAAAGCCATACAGAATCCTGATTCCAGAGAGACGTATGCGCTGTACACCACGGGCGGCTTGAAAGCTGAAAAAGGAGTAGGAGCAAGAGTTTTCGGCTGGAAGCTAAGAGTTAAAACATCAGTATACCTAGGCTCTAAAACAAAACTATAAAGCTCTTTTCAGATAGTCAGGCGGCCCTCCAGGCCCTGAGCTCCAATCGAGTTGACTCAGAGCTGGCTTTCAACTGTATAAAATCCCTTGAACGTCTCGGTGCCCGGAACAAAGTTACTTTGATCTGGGTTTTGGGACACAGCGGTGTGGAGAGCAATGAGAAAGCTGACGCGCTCGCTAAAAAACAACCGAATCTAAGTTCTAGAACCAGAACCATTCCTGGGCATTGCAAAGGAATTATCACAATGGACGGAGGTTGCAACACTAACAAACTATTATAGAGATACCCCAGCGCTAACCCATTTGAAGGCGTTTATAAGCCACCTTTCTATGAACGCCACTGCTCAGATCCGGTTGTGGTTAAACTGTCAAATATGACATAAAAGTACCGCAAAAGATGAAAAGAATTCTATTTCGGTCACATTTCGTTGGTTGAGTATATATCTTGTAATTTATGTTATGTTGTGATTGGTATCAAAAATGATAGCGATTAGTTTGCACCTCGCATTTGCAGATCGCTTAACGACTTTTATTGGTATGATCTAGATCATTTGTCAAAATTTAGGTTAGCAGCCAAATTAAAATTTATAAAAAATGGAGTATGAATTTACTTCATATAGGAACGTAATGAACAATACAATGAGAAATATTTTGTAAGAATCAACAAGTTAGGTTAGGTCATGCCCTGCAAAAATAAGTGGTGTTGTATTCTGTTTTCATGGTCAAATACAATTTGGCAAAAATTTGGGTATGTAGTATTTAAATACGTTTTTTTTTTAAGTTTGTTTTTAGAATCTTATTTATTGATTTTGAGAAAAGTACAATAATTGACCAATATGTAATTTTCTAGTATAACTTAAGTAATTTAGCCAAAAATCAATTCATCATTTGTGATATAGGTATTCTTTATGAAGAATACAAATTTATGAATAAAACATTCTGCTGTGAGAGCCGTGCGCATTGTATCAGTTATATTTAAGCCAATTTATTGAAAGCCAAGCTTTAGATCTATTTTTAAATATGGGGTACCCATAACAACTTTGTTTTACTCAAGTGCTTACCTAACTTATTCAAATAGTGTAATGTAAATGGAATTATTATTAATTTGTTGTTTTGTGTTTCAGGGGTTCTGGGGAAGGAAGTTCAAGGCTTTCTGGACAAGATCAGGTAAGGTATTGTTTAGATAACATTTTTTTTTTAATTATAAATTCGTTCATTTGTTCCTTTATGTCTAGTTATAGTTAGTATAACGAAAAACGCGTGATCGTGTCGCTTTAATCGCCTCATACCTGATTACTGACCGTTTTAATCAATTCAAAACCTAGACGGTAATTTTAACCGATTCATTTTGTTCCATATAGAGATTTCCGGTTTATTCAACCAACAATTATCTAATCGCCTTCAGCCCATTATAGAATTTTAATCATTACAATATAATATACAGAATGTTCCGTACTAATCTTGTAGCAAATGGCGTTCCTTGAAAATTTCACGAAACTGAAATATGTCGATCTCCTGATCATAAGTCACCATTGCCACGTTGGTTTTAGTTCTAATGGATATGGTAGGAATGTTCCAACATCGATCAGAAACGAGTCACGAACGTCAGGATTCTGCGCAGTAGATTATTGGGACTTCTAAATTATATAATGCACAGTTATTGTATGATTGGTTCTGTACGTTGTTGGAACAGACCTACAGTACCCAACAGGGCTAAAACTAATGTGGCAATGGTGGCTTATGATCAGGAAGCGACATCTACAATATTTCGGTTTCGTGAAATTCTCACGGAACGCCATTTGCCATAAAATTAGTGCGGGGTCCTTTGGGGGGTGATTCTACTTACCGAAATATTAAGAAATTAATACAACAAATAGTTACACAAAGTAGACATGACGTAATGAAACCACTTTTCTTTTTATCGTCATCATCATCATCATGGATTCTTATCTGCCAGTATCCTGAGTTAAGTTCCCATGTAATCATGTAAGTGGAACTAAGGTTCTTTTAAACGTCACAAAATCTAGTGTGCGCCATATTTATTGGGTACAAGCACTACTAGAGAGGTTCAGAGTGTTTCTCCTTTCTTCTATGATCCCACGGGCAAGCATATCGTCTAGCATCGAGCGTAAAATTTTCTATTGATTTATGGGCGGCAATAAATTAATGACAGATTAATTGGACCGATTGAAATTATTGCTTGGTTAAATGCAATTGAGTATCTGAATTTTTTACAAACCCACCTTGAACCCAATCTGGATAATCTCCCATTAAATATTCCACATCAGCTGCACTTTCAGCACGACGAAGCGCCAGTCCATTATGGCGTTAATGTGAGAAATTGCCTGAATGAAAGATTTTCGGGTAGATGGATAGGAAGAGGTGGTCCCATACCGTGGCCACCTCGATCTCCGGATTTAAACCCATTAGATTATTATTTTTGGGGTCGTATAAAAGATATGGTATACGTTACAGAAGTTAACAGTGAGGAAAAGTTTGGCAGGGAATGAAATACGGCAAAATAATTTTGAAGTTATGCCAGCTTTACATACGATTATCCGTAGAGCCGAAATGTGACTTCGTCAGCAACACTTAATTTTATTTAGTTAGAAATTGATACTTTTAGTTGTATTTTTGTTATTTTTACTAGATTTTTGTTGTAGTTTTAGTAGAATTTTTGTTATTTTTAGTAGAATAGTAGATTTTTAGTAAAATAGACAAAAACAATTTTTGAGAATCATTTTTTATAGTCGACAATTTGACCTATTTTAATAAAAGTAGATAAATCTTAAAATTATAATCAAACAGCATTTGCAATTAAAAATAACTAATGATTTCTTTATAACTCAGTCAAACTACGTATTTTCAAGAAATCACCAGCTATTCTTAAATTTAAATACAGTTTCGCTATAATTTTAGAATGTTTAACGTATCTGACTTACTTTTACCTTAAAATAGTTTAAACGTCGACATTTAAAAAAATTAATTCTCATCAATCGTTTTATTGGGCCAAACCATTTTACCATTTAAAGTTTCTTTATAAGATAAACGTTTAAAAAATAAAGCTAAATAAATTTCTTTAGTCGACGATTTTCCAAAGCTGAAAAAAAAATTTCTGATTCCACAGTCCTACTAATTATTGTTTGCACTTTCGAATAAGATAATATGAACTTATCATTAAATTTTCAAATGCTCTGCTTTTCTCTTGAAAATTGTGTGTCCTAGCGAGATGCAACAAAATTAGCTTTATTATATAGAAAAGATTGGTTTTTGAAATTTTGTCGTCAAAAATGTTAAAAACTGTCATCAAAAAGCTTAGGGCAATTTTACCCTAAGCCACCCCCTAATTTACCGACCTATGAAGATGATCAAAAACTGGGGTTAGTCCATTAAATACAGCATAAAAAGTTTAGCATTTGCACCAAATTTCACTTAGTTATTTTTAAATCTTTAGAAAATAATATTTACAAAAATTCGTCATCAAAACTTTTAACATTTCGGAAACGAAACTTTTTCGGACCTATGTTTATATGAACTTTTACTTCTATTTTAGGATGTAGATTACGCTGTAGAATAAAATATGACCGTCTAATTTCGGGACACCCTATATAATCCTTTCCTGCAAATAAAATCAAACTTACCTGCTTACTTGTTCATCAAGTACTATTTTATCTTCAATACTGTATTAAAAGCATTTATTTATGTAACATGTATTAACTACTCTGTCGGCAAGGTTTCCAATTAACGGCTTCCTTCTTTATTATCTTTTTACCAGTTTAAAATTATTTTTTTGGATGTTGTTGCCGTAGATAGAGAATCATTTAATTCATCCACATTTTTATTTACATCATATCCGAAATTCGACCCCTATATTGGTTTTCAAAATTATTAAAAATTATGTAGTTTTGAGTTATTTCAAGAAAAAACTAGAAACGGCCGATTTTGCTTTTATTAAATCTTTATAAAACCTTTAATTTAATTACAAAGACTTACATTCTTGAGACACTTTTTAAATGACAATATTGTTTTCGAGTTACCTACTTGAACTTTGTTATTTCTTATGGCGACTATCTTGGATTTTTACATAATATTATTACCCCCTAACTTACCTTTTAAACGATGTGCCTGCCACATGTCATCCCAATTTTTAAGAAGTATCCTTCAATTAATAAAAAAAGTAATATTTTCCTTAATTTGCCAACACCACATCCATCCAAATTAATTTGTTTTAATATTACCTTATCTCGGCTTACCATGTAAAAATAACACATAATTAATAATGGCCTGCCATGTGAAGATCAAAGTAAATTATAGATAAGTCTAAAACTTCTTGAGTTGTTTTTACAAAGCAATTTTTTTGTAATACGAGGCCATGTTTTAGAATGTTTTCACATATTTCACGAGATAATTTTAAAATAATATCACCATTACCAAACAGATACCTCATGGATAGCTCCCATTTAGAGGTATTACAATTTTTTACGATGTGCAAATTTTCATTCATACTTCTGTAATAGCTACTCATTTTTAAAATTTTCATAAAATGTATATTATTTACTTCAGAAATTACAAGGTTTCAACAAAAACAACATGATCTGCGCCTACATCTACCTACTATCGAAATAATTAGAAAATTATCAAAACCCAATTTTGTCAAATCAAGTTCCCCTTGAAACTGAAAACAAATCGCCGAAAAATCTAAGAATTTCGTCGAAATAAACATGAAGGCGAGAAGGACGTCTTTCTTTACATTTTAGAAAATTTTACACCTAATTGCCATAAAACAAAATAGTAATAGAACCATGAATAAAAGCGCACATTGTTTTTACTTCCCTCTATAAAAGGGAAGTATTGTATTTTCACGTTTCATGGTCCCTAGATTACAAAAACATATTTCCCCATTCCGTCGGTCTGTCTATCTGTCTGTCTGTCTGTCTGTCTGTCTGTCTGTCTGTCTGTCTGTCTGTCTGTCTGTCTGTCTGTCTGTCTGTCTGTCTGTCTGTCTGTCTGTCTGTCTGTCTGTCTGTCTGTCTGTCTGTCTGTCTGTCTGTCTGTCTGTCTGTCTGTCTGTCTGTCTGTCTGTCTGTCTGCCAGCGCAATAGCTCAAAAACGACTTTATAGAAAAACTTCAAATTTTGTATGGAGATAAGGTTCCTTTCTGGCTCAAAACCAGTTATACTTCCGATCAGTTATATACAGGGTGAGCAGTTTTTAAAATAAAAATTATTTTTAAAACTCGGCTGATTTCGATTAAAATTGGTATCTGAGAATTTTAGAAGCCAAAGATTACAGATCCGAAATAAGTTTTAAAAAATTTAAAATGGCGCTGAAGGGAATCGTATTTAATCAAAAAAGGTCCCACCTTAATGGGAATAATAAAAATGGTTCATTTGGTTTGTGTAACTGGACAATTTTAAAAGCAACCAATCAATATTGTTCAATACACGATGATCGTGACGAAGAATACCGAGTGGACGCGAAGTGAGAACTCGTGTGGGATCATGAGAAAGATTAATGGAGAGAGAAATTTGAATAACGGTTTTTGGTTTGGTGGTTTTAATTTTAAATTATTAAAATTTAAGTGCTTAGGAGTTCCCTGTTTTTACAATTTCTCTATAGAGCGAAGTGCTGGGTACAATACTTTATTGATTTTTTTTTTTAATATTTTATTGTTATTTTTGGATAGTCTCCTTTTAGGCAAATATATTCATTAAATTTGGTAAAAAGTTTAGATGGGTACCAGATTTGAAGAATTTGAGGGGTGTCAAAGTACCTTTCACTTTTCTTATGTAAAGTAGCGACTGGTAAAATTTTCTGAAACTTTGGTATGTTGTTGTACTCAACCTAGTAACCAAAAGTATCAATTGCCCAACTCAATCCTATCACTAGTTTTCGATATACGGGGTGTTAAAGTTGAAAATTGCCCAGTTTGTCAAAATTTTTATTTTAAAACGAGCTAGATTGAAATTCTGTTTCATACACACGTTTACTACATATTTTAGTAATTCATTGGTACATACGTACAATTAAAAATATTTTTAATTACAGGGTGATTCGCAAATATAAGACGCTATTTTTTCCAAAATCTTACTAATTTTACTTTTATTTTTAAAAAAATACTACACAATATTTTTTTGCGTCAAAATATACAGTACACATTTCTTATA